AGAAACACTTATTTTTTTTAAACTAAATTACATGAAAAATCCATGTGGCAAAAATTGATGACATATTAAATCTTTTACCTTTAATTACTGATATACCCTCATCTTCTTCCCCCGCTTCTCCTTCCTCCAGCCTTTTTTTTTCTTTTTTTTCTTTTACCTCTAGGCAAACCCAAGAGCCTGGGTTCGCGAGGAACCCAGCTTGCGGGTTCGCGACGTCCATGCAATAGCCTTTCACCTAATTGCTTTCCTAAGAGCAACTAGCAACTCATTAAATGCAATTGAACCCGGGAGCAAACTAGAATCCCCATTATCAATGCCATTACTAGCTTCTAAAAGCTTCAAGAATATAGATAACGCTAAACCCACCTGGTTTTTCCTAACCAAAGCAACGAGCACAGTACCACACACACTGGGATTCAAGTTAGTACCCAATTCTTCCATGTGATCAAGAATCTCAAGCGTAGAATCGAACCTATCAAACCGAATAAACTCATTGAGCAAGAACTTGAAAGTCTCAGAACCAAAGACAGCACCATCTTCCTTCATCAAAACTAACAAATTCGGGATTTCCTCAACGAACCCAATGCTGCAGAGGGTACGAAACATGTGTGAGTAAGTGCCTGCAATGTGTTTGAACTTTGGTCTGAGAGAGCAACACCATCGAAAAAAGTCCAGCTTTTTGGAAGGGTCAAGGGAATTCTTCCGGAGAATCTGATTGCCCAAGGGCTCCGAGATGGGGGTGGAGTTGGGATCAAGGTTTCGAGTCCCGAATTCTGATAAGGTTTTGGTAAGCAAGGCGATGAGGAGGATATTGCCCAAGTGAGCTGATGGGTTTTAGAGAAGAACAGAGGAGGATGAAGATAAGGTGGCTCCTCCATGGCGCATTGCATTGCGAACTGGGTTCCTCGCGAACCTAGGCTCTTGGATTCGCTTGGAGGTAAAAGAAAAAAAAAGGCTGGAGGAAGGAGAAGCCAAGGAAGAAGATGATGGTATATTAGTAATTAAAGGTAAAAAATTTAACATGTCATCAATTTTTGCCACGTGGATTTTCCACGTAATTTAGTTAAAAAAAAAAAAAGAATGAGTGTTTCCGTTAATTAACCTGCCACATCGACCAAAATTTAACAAAATGACTAAAAAGGGGTCGAATTTGTGAACAGTAAGAACCAAAATGAGGATTTTTTCGGTATAGGGACAAAAAAAAACTTTTTCCTGTAGTAGAGAGACCAAAAAGGGTATTAAACCATTAAAAAAAAAACAAACTAGGGAGAGGGTCTGGGAGTTCTTGAATTCTAAATTCCTGGGTTGAAAATCGGAGAGTTCTAGAGCATTTTTGGTGTGAAAAAAAAAAAAAAAAAAAGAAGAAGAGGGAAATCCGGAAGAAGGGGAAAGGCCGTCAATCTGATACCTTGTTCATTTTTCGTTTGTTGTGTGTAAATAATATGCAAATGTGGAAGTGAAATATTGAAATTTGCTCCTAGATTGGTTGTCTATCGCATTTTGTTAATGTGCTGTGGATGTGGATTTTGGTTGTGGCTAGTTTGATTTGAAGTTTCGATGTTAGGTGTGTTTTAGATATAAATTTTCAAATATTCGCTTTTGTAGCTGATTGCAATTTTTAGGGGTTTTTCTACATTTTTTTTAAAAGATTTTTTTGGAGGTTGTTGGAAATTACAAAAATTGGCCAGAATTTGGTCGAAATTTGGCGATGTCGCTGGATTCTGGAAAAAGGCCGCCGTGTCGTGGGATTTATTTGAATAGCCGAAGAACACGAAGAACACCTTGAAAATCCCCATTTGATCCATTTCGACCCGTCTATACTTACGGGTCGTCATTCGAGTCGGTTCGACGCGGGTGGATTTTAGGCTTTTTCTTTTTATTTCATTTTGGGCCGAATTTTCTCTTATGGGCCATGAGTAGAAATTAGAAAAAAGATATGAAATGGGTTGTGCCCTAAACTAAAGCCCACCAGATTTTAATTTTTTTAATATTCAATCTTTTATAATTTTTAATAATTAATAATTAAGTTGATTAATTTTTAATTAGTTATAGTTAATTGCCTTAATTAATTCTAATTCCCACTAATCCAAACCTTGATTAAGGAATTTTTTAATTTGTACTCTTAAATTACAAATTAAGGATATATTTATTATATTTTTTACTATTAATTTATATAAAAAATAAAAATTAATTTTATTTTTATTGATGATTTAA